CATGATCATCAAAGTATATTCTTGAAAGCCTGGCACTGTCATCATGGCTCAAACAACCAAATGAAAGTCTTGTGAATGAAGACAGTCCCTGCAGGAGACAGGTTTGCTGGGCCAAGAAAACACTTAAGCTGTGGCCTGCTCCCCGGCCCTTGGTGGATGGGCACGTGGGTTGGGAGTCGCAGGTGGGATGCAGAAAGCAAACCCTCTGAACCTGCTTGGAGGAAGCTGCTTTATCTTGAAGGGCAGCAAATTCAGGAGAAGGATTTTTCATATTGATTCTGGACAGACCTCTGGATTTTATATTCTCCAGGAATGCTTTCAGGCCCTGCCATTAAAGATGGGTGGTAGTTATTTACCCCAAGTAGGAAATTTCCATCAAAAATCATGATTCCGGGGCACCTGAGTGACTCAGTCAGTTAAGCGTCTGCCTTCAGCTCAGGTCATGATCCCACGGTCCTGGGATGGGATCAAGTCCCTCATCGGGCTCCCTGCTCCGCAGAGGGTCTGCTCCTCCCCACCACGGCTCCTGCTCTCTCCTGCTCACTCTCTCTTGCTTGCTCTCTCTCTGAAATAAATAAAATCTTAAAAAAAAAATCATGATTCACACCCAGACAGTATAAAAGACTGCATTAGGGCCATGTGGTACTTTCATTCAGAAGAACTGAGCAGGAGAGGCTGTCCAGGGAACTTCATCCTTGTTTTAATTTTGTAGCCCCCAGAAGAGATCATTCCATGCCCTGCTTTTCTTCTTCATCCACTGGTGCTGTTTCTCCTGTGCTAAAAGAAAACTGTTTGGGGGCACCTGGGTGGCTCAGTTGGTTGAGTGTCTGACTCTTGATTTCGACTCAGGGCATGATCGCAGGGTCCTGAAATCAAGCCCCACAATGGACTCCATACTCAGCACAGAATCTGCTTGAGATTTCTTTTCCCTCAGCCCTTCCCCCTCTCTCTTTGTCTCTCCCTCCCTCTCTAAAATAAATAAATAAATCTTTTAAAAATTTGTAAGGAGGCTGATTATAGGAGGTGTTTTTAACCAAAAAATATGTGTGGGTGCCCAATCATCCACCAAGTGTATGTGACATTCACTGACTCCCCCCATCTAAAGTCACTCCCCATATTACTCGGTCACATTACTTGTATATGTCCTCCATAGTACTTGGGACAATTGGTATTTCATTTGTGGGGGTTTTTTCACTTTTTTTTTTTTTTTTTTAACCTCTCCACTAGACCTTCAGCTCCATGAGGACAAGACCTGGGTCTATTTTGTTCACTCTCAGCTTTTAGCAAAATGGCACAAAGTAGGCATTTAGTGAATAGTTGTTGAATGAAAAAATGAGTGAAGAGAAAGTTTAGTGTCATCCAAATTCTACCAAACACAAGAGTGGGGAAAATAGAATCTTGGCTGGTTTCTATGTTGAACATTCTTTTAGGAGTGAACAGGACTATTAAGACTATTGCTCTTTTTCAGTAGAGTCCAATTATAATTACTGTTCATTTACCTGTGTTCTCCTGGAAGGACTACTTAAGCCAATTACTAGCATTAAAACACAGAAATGTGACATTTCACTGTTGAGATGGCAATCTATTTAAAATATGTCCTAATTTTACTCTCTTGTTAGAAAATTCTGACAAATCTCTTTACCAAGCCCTCTCCTAATTGAGCCTAATCACAGTAGAACCATCAGTATAGTTCAGAGCTGGAATGGGGAGTGAGCTGGTCCCGAGCTGGGTTCCAGCTTGGCCGATTACAGCCATGTGACCTGGACCGGGGTAGCTTTCCAAAGCTTCCTCTTCCCCACCTAACAATGCTTACCTGGGATGGTGCCTGGCTCATGTTAGACCCTCAGAACTATTCAATTCCCCTACTTTCCCCACCAGCCCAGAGGAGCCATACTACCCAAGATATCTTGGACTTACTCATCCAGGCATTAGCAACGTTCAACTTGAGAAACAAGATTATAGGCCACACCACAACTGCCCGGGGCACAACTCAAACTTCCTCTCTGGTCTCCATATTTATTACGCTTCCCCATCAGATGGACACCCACAGGCACACACACACACACTCTCTCTCTCTCTCTCTCTACCTCAGTCCTCCTTACTTAACACAGAACCGCACTGGTTCCCTCCCTGCCACCCCCACAGAGTCTCCAAACACAGCTTTTTACTTTGTTGCTCAATATGGCCAAGTGTTCAAAGGCCGAAGAGGGTAAATGTGTTATACAGTCCAAGGTTCCCCAATTCCGTCATCAACGGGCTGCAGTTAAGGGGTACACATACGGCATACAGCCACATACTTGGCGGAACAGAGGCAAATTTCTTTAACGTTCAGAAACTCCTACAAACTGATCAGGAAAATCAATTAAGAAAAAGTGAACTACCCAATAGAAAAATGAAGAATAAAACCAGCAAAAGAATGCAAAAGGCCAGTACCCCTGTGAAATTATGCTCAGGCTTACTCATAATTAAGACAAATCAAAACAACCAGACACCATTTTCACCTATCAGATTAACAAAAACTAAAATCAATAATACCCAGTGTTGGCAGAAGTGAGAGAAACAGGCAGGTAATCGTGTACTCTACTGACAGAAGGATAAACTGGGCAATTAACAATATTGAAAATTGGAATACAAAATTCAACTACATTAAGTCAACTTCTGTTCATCAAAAGTCATCCATTTAAAAAGTGAAAAAACAATCAGGGCACCTGGCTGGCTCAGCCAGTAAAGCATGGGACTCTTGATCTCAGGGTTGTGAGTTCAAGCCCCACGATGGGTGTGGAGATTACTTAAAAATGGGGTCTTTGAGGGACACCTGGGTGGCTCAGTTGGTTAAAAGTCTGCCTTTGGCTCAGGTCATGGTCCCAGGGATTGAGTCCCACATCAGGCTCCCTGCTCAGTGGGGAGTCTACTTCTCCCTCTACCCCTTACCACCTCATGCACACAACTCTCTCTCTCTCTTTCAAATAAATAAAATCTTTTTTTAAATATGGGCTCTTTGAGAGGCACCTGGGTGGCTCAGTCGGTTAAGCATCTGACTCTTGATTTCAGCTCAGGCCTCAATCTGGTGGGTTCAGGCCCCCGAGTTGGGCTCCATGCTTTGTATGGAGCCTACTAAAAAAAGGGGAGGATCTTTGAAAAAAAAAGTGAAAAGACAATCACATACTGGGAAAAAGATATTATTTAACTCAGACCAGTAAGCACAACATATAATGAAATTCTGTAAGTCAACAAGGAAAGGACAAACACTCCGACAAAAAAAAAAAAAAAATGGGCAAAAGCAATTTACATAAGAGGAAATATGCATAGCCACAAAATATATGAAAAGATGCCCAATTTCACTAGTAACCAGAGAAATGTAAATGAAAACCACAAGTTCACGTCTATCAAATACACAAAAATTAAAAGGTTGGACAATACCAAGTGTTGGTGAGCATGTGGAGTAACTAAAGGCAGGTTTAAGAGTGTAAAACCACTTTGAAGAACAACTTCTAAAATCATCAAAGATTCTCCTATTCCAAGAAACAGCCACTCCCTCCTAGGCAAATAAATACCCTAGAGAAGTCCCCACATACTGACAACAGAGAGATATACACAGGAATATTCATAGTAGGGGCTCCCAGCTAGCTCAGTGGGTAGAGCATGCGACTCTTTATCTCGGGGTTGTAAGTTTGAGCCCCATGTTGGGTGTAGAGATTACTTAAAAATAAATTCCTAAAAAAATGTTCATGGCAGCATTGTTTGTAGCAGAAAAAATTGATTCAACCTTAATGTCCACTAACCAGAAAATGGATACATAAGTATCAACCTTAATGTCCACTAACCAGAAAATGGATACATATATTCATATATATGAAGTTATTTGATACTGAAAAGAAATTAACTCAAAAATGGTATCAAGATGGAAGAATGTCAGAAATATAATAATGAGGAAAAGATGCAAGTCTCAGAAGAATACATACAGCAAAGTACCCTTAATGTACAAGGTAAAAATATTCAAATCATTGCATGAAAATAATAAATACCAATTCAGAATCCTGGCATCCTTTAGGTGGAATGGGAGGGATGACAAGCAGGGCTGTACAAAGGGGCATTTACCTGTGTTGGCAAAGCTGTTTTTTAAGCTCTTTTTATTCTTTATGTCTTTTTCTTTGTATATGTTTCAAGTAGTACAAAATAAAAATTTTTTAAATTTAATGTATATATACTTTCACTTAATTCCACTGCTAGGAATTTATCTTACATATGTATTAGCATATGCACAAGCTTGCAACAATATATACAAAGATGCTTTTTGTAGCAGCTTATAAGGGGGGGAGGGAAGCAACACAATATGGGAATATTATATACAGTATTCAATGAAACACCAGAGCTAGACAATCATTAAAAAGAATGAGACAGGCCTGTATGTCAAGATACATATTTAAGTGGAAAAAAATTGTAGGACTAGACCATTTGTGGAAAAATATTAGATTGGCTGTACACACAAACCCCCATATGTATAACAAAAAATTTCTGGGTCACAAGAAACCATTAACTTCAATCTACTCAGGGGAATAAGAATGGATAATGAGAGGGGACTTCTACCTTTCATTTTACACCCTTCAGAATGATTTGCATTTCTATTTTTACCATTAGTGTGTATTACCCTTATAATGCGAATAAATAGATAAAGCGGTGGAAAAAATAAACAACAGTATAAGATTAGATGCTGGTTTATTGAGATTTTATTTAAATGACAAAAATCATATGAAATTCTTTTAATCATTTTTATAATGCTTATCTCCTGGGGAATTGATACCACTCAAAGAAACGACTCCTAGCAGCGGCTGCTTTGTACAGGACAATAATTAGTGCTGCAGTTAGAGTAAATTATTTGTGGCTCTTTCACAGCTTTATGTAACTATCTGCAGAGCATGTCACCAATATTCGCTTTATTTCAAATCAACATTCTAAAGACCATAAACTGTTTGGTTTTTTTTTTTTTTTTTACGTCAAAGAGTGTGTTTTTCAAGAAACCCATTCAAAGCGGAATAAAGACCCGAAGCACAGGAGCAGAGCAGGCCAGCACACCCCAGCCGAGGTGGTTCGCGAGCCCTGGCGACATGGGGCGCTGCTGCTGGGGTCTGACCAGAGACGGCAATCTGGCCTTGGAACCGCGCTAGTCCTGCTCAGCTGGTCCGCACCCCCCGCCGCCGGAACGCGGGCAGAGCCGAGCTGCGGGCGTCACCGCCAGGGACTACACTTGGCTCACACGAGGAGCACAGCCACGGGTCCGCAAAGCCTTCTTGGGCTCCAGCCTGGCCTCTGAAGTCAGGAAGTTTGCAGCTAAAAAGGAAGAGAAAGAAGCTGAGTGTAGAGAAAGAGGCTCTGAGTGCTTCTGGGGCAACCCAAAGTCCCATTTCCCAGACTGGCCCCGGGGCCGGGAGTGGGGGGCAGGATGGGAGCAGAGCCAAGCGATGGACCCTCAGAACCTCCCCACTGCACTGAAGCCAGAACTCTGGTTTTTTTAATCTATTTTATTTGACTGCCAGGTAAAATTTATTTCCAAAAAGAGGAGGCTAAAAATAAAAGTTTGGAAATCTTTGACCTGCACCGTACTGGTAGACAGGTGGTCCTCTAACATAACAACAAAACTTTTTACAACCGTTCTTCTATTTCTTCAGCTATAGGTGTGGGGAAGGACCTCATAATACCTACCCTCCTGAACCTTGCAGGCTGCTGGAAAGAGCAAATGAGGTAATAGTCATCTTCAGCTAAGAGGCCCTTAGGAAAATTTATTATTTCCTTCCTTTATTAATGGAGGGTATATCCGGTTCAAATAATTAGTCATGCAAGCGAGACTGGGTTTGCTCTAGAAGGAAAAGGAGAAGCAGTGGCAGCCTCAGAATAAGGAGAAGGACAAGGACTGCGGGGTGGGGGAAGGAGGAGCTGAAGGGGGGTGAAGAAGAAGAAAAACAACAGCAACAACAGCCAGTTAAATTTTTAAAGAGAGAATTATCCTCTGTTCAAGTGCCTGCCACTTCAAGGAAATGAGGGAGGGGGCCAGAAGGGAAGGAAGTGGGGAGAGGACACTTGCTTTAAGCACTTGCCATGTGCCAAGCACCGTGCCGAGAGCGAGATGCTGCCTATGTTTCCTTTAATCCAAACAGAATACGATGCAGGTGTTGTCATCCCCATTTTACAGATCAGAAAACTAAGGTTCCGAGAGTAAACAACTTAACCAAGCCCAGGTAGAACCTCTACTCACCCAGGTCGCTGCATATTCCCTTCACAGCCTGGCCACCGGCTTCTCCTCCCCAAGGTGGGTGTTCCCCGGCCCTGTTTCTCTTTCTCCCTTTCTGTTAGCTCCCCTTCAGATCTGTAGTATCGCTTTCATCCTTTGGGTTAGTTCCTCTGTGCTGTTCCTCTGTCCTGATTTCCAGCCCCCTGGACAGTTCCCAGTTGGGATCCCACTGTCCTTACAAACATGGCTCTGAAAGGAGCTCCGCCCCTCGAGATGACACACCCTCTCCACCTGGGGGAACCCTCTTCTCCCTGCCTCCCAAGCTCAAAATCGCGGTCACTTTGGGTCATTTCTCTCCTCCCCAAATACACAATCACTCGATTATCTCTGTTCCTTCTTCAAAATATCTCCTACCTCTCACTTTCCACTTCTACTTTTCCCCTTAACATCCTAGCACTGTGAACCTTGTGTCTGCCTGGTTTCGGCAGAAGCCTCCAGCTGGTTCCTTCCGTGCTTCCAGATTATGCTGTACACTGCTGCCAGACGCCTCCCCCCCACCTACCTGCCCTGCACCCTCGTGAGATCCCACATCGCCTTTGTCAAATCAAATCCGCACAGCCCTGCACTCCAGGCTGCGCGCATCTGACCCCCCGGGGCTTTCCAGCCTCAGGCCCCACTCCTCCACTCTCCAGTTCCTCCGTTGAGCCAAAGGGACTGCTCGCTGCACAACACCCTAACACCGCCCTACCTGTGGCCCCCAGATCCCCCACAGGCTGTCCCCCTCCTCCCTCCTGCCCTCTCCCAGCCCTCCCTGGAAGCCTGCACGACTCATCTGTACGATTCAGCGGGCAGTCATTGCATACCTCCTGGAACAGGCATTGAAATGGACCAGTGTTATTTCATCTCTCCCGTCTGTATCTCACCGCCCAAACAGTATAAAGCACTTGAAGCTAAAGACTAATAGGTCTTGGTTTCTCCCTACAGTGCCTAATACTTAGAGAGTCGGTGCTTAATACCTGTGTTGATTTTTTTCTTCCCACATACGTTGGCCTCAAACAAATAGCCAAGGGCTGGTGAGAATAAAAAGCATCAGTCTCGGAAGCCTGATTTTGGCCACATAGATCTCCCACAAGTCAATTTCATCTTAACCCCTCGGCTCAAGATCGCTCACAGGCATCCTGGGCATCAGCGGCTCGCTGGTCCCCAGAGAGGTCTCTGACCGACCTCGCCAGCCCGGCTCTGCCTGCTCATTGGGTGATCGAATTTCCAGGTCCTTCCCTGGTTTCCAGCTAAAACGACACGTCCCCGGGGTGGTGACGGATGGGGGGGCTCCCCAAACCGGAAGCCCTGGCACCCTCGGGGGTGAAGCCCCCTCCAGCGCAGCTCAGGGGCCGACAGAAGCACCCCGAGGCACCCGGCCCTGGAGAGAGAAAGAAGACACTGCACCTTTAAGTCTGCAGCCAGTGGAGAAAAACAAGCTGTGATTTATATAAGCGGGAAAATCATGTGATTTGCGGGAACGCTCCCTCCTCCCCCGACCCCCTCCCCGCGTCGCCTCCAGCCCTTCCCAGAGGGGCCCGGCCGCGGGGCTCGGCGGGAGGGAGCAGCCCGGGGCGCCCGGGGCCTCCCTCCCCGGCGCTCCCTGCCCGCGGCGCTGCCCTGGGGGGCGCCCGGGGCCCGGGCTGGCCGGCGTTCGGCCGGGCGCGGCGGGTCACGTCCGGCAGCGCGGGCGGGAGGAGCCCCGGCCCGCTCCCCGGGCCCGCTCGGCCTGCCGCCCGCCGCCCGAAGTGTGCGTGGACAAACTGAGGCTTCCCCCCAACTTCTCGCGCAGGGGGCAAAGCCGGGGTCCCCACGGCCTGGCTTCTCTGTCCCGGGACACCCGGCACGTGGCGGGGGGGAGGGGGAGCGCGATTTAAGAAATAATCTGGTAGGGACGGCAGGATGAAAATGAGCCATTTCGAGAGCGGAGAGGTGCTTGAGTTTAGCCCAGAGGACCTAGGTTTCAGGGGAGGGAAAAAAACGATGTGGCCTTTTCAGACAGAGCCAAGGAAAATAAATACAAGATTTGGAGGCCCGAAGAACCGGCACAGATCTTTTAAATATTAGAAGGAGGGTAGTGTAGCTACAAGGAGCCCACGCCCACGCGGAGTTCACTCCGACAGCTTCTGAAGAAAAGGAAATGTTTAGATCCTCCTGAGATGCACAAACGGTTGAGTGGGCAGGTCTTAAGAGGTCATCTCAGCCATCCCTGTTTCTGGAAGACTGTAACAAGCCCTTGCAGGAAGTGCTTACAGTGGGAGAGGATTAATGATCACTTCCAAAACCAAGCCCGGGAGAGGTTGGGGGGCTTTCTAGGGGAGAAGAGCTGGGAGGAGGAGTAAGATCTCTCTCAGGGCAGCGCCCTTTCCATGACCAGGAAGATGGGCTCTGAAATTGTCCAAGGAAGGCAACCCATAGCTTCTGGAATACCCAATTCCACTTATTAAACCTTGTCAGAGATAAGGTTCAAATTCCACTTTATTTTCCTCCATTGGTCATCTGCTGGGATGGGGCATAATCCCTGCTGTCACCTGCAGGAAGAACACGGCACAGTTCAGGAGGTTGCTGATGAGCCTCTTGCCCTGACCTCCACCATGGCCAGCAGAGCTGGGCGAATTTCAGTCCACCCTCTGCATCCTCGAGCCAGGTGGGCCCTGAGAGGTCATCCTGGCCCTCCTCCGGGCTCCCTTCCTCCCTGCATGGAGGGTCTTTATGCTGAGATCCTTTCCAAAGCAGTGCTTCAGTGCCCTCTGTCACACCAACAGTAAGAAGATCCTTCCCGAAGGGGAGAGCACAAGATAGGCAAATATTCTCCACTAGTCTTTAAATCCCGAAGAAGAAAAATTTCAGGTAACGTGGGGATTCAGGAGAAGAGCACTCCATGAGTTCGTTCAGTGATTTAGTGAGTGCCTTCTGTGCCTGGCCCCGAGCTGGGCGCTGGGGGCACAGTGGGAGTGAGACAGACACTGTCCCCCCCCCCCACCGGACCCTGTCCGCTCCCCCACCCCACCTCCCAGGAAGACCTTCCTCTCCTCCACCAGCATATGTATGTCCTCGCCCCAGCCCCCACCCAGTGTGCGCTGCCCCCAAGTCTAGCTGTGTCCGTCTCAACGCATCAAGAGCTGCTTCTATCAGAAGGCGCTGACTCTCTGGTGATTGGGGGGCGGGTTTAAGAAGTAACCCGAAGGCCTGTCCAGAAAATGAGATCATAGTTGGCAGCCTCCTGGGCCCCTCCCAAATTTTATAATTTAGTTCAGGCCCCACCTCACTCAGTGCCACTTGCTTTCTCTCTCTCCCTTTGCTCTTTTTCTGCTAGGCTGGCTGCCCCCTCATCTAGGTCTGCTCTTCCCTAGGCTTCCAGAGCCCTCCCTGACCAGCCCAGGTGCCTTCTTCCTAAGGCAGCCTTATCTGCTTCCACTGTGGGCCCGAGCCCTCCCACAGCCCTGCACACATGCCTATCCCAGGTCTCTCAGCAGTGAGGCTCCCCGTGAGGCCGCTCAGATGTTCACCCTTAACCACAGGCCCGTTGACCACGACCTCGACCTTCCGACCCTCCTGGACCACACCAGCCCCTGCCTTAGTACAGGCTTTTCCTGAGTTTTCCTGTTTCTGGCTTCCCTCAGCCATTCACAAGCCCAGCCTGATAACGTGCAAAGGGAAACCTGGCAATAAGCCTGTGGTAAGCGATCATTTCAGATGAACACACAGAAATTATGGGTCCAAACTGAAAACACCCTGCAAGCCACAAACTCTGTTACTTTGAAAGAAGCCAGAGTAGACCTCTGAGTTTTCTTTAAAATGCACCAAGGAATGCAAGGAGTGAATGGGTGAAATCAGCTCCTCTAGGACACTCTCGGGAAATGGGGCCCCCGAAGAAAAAAGGCATCCCAGCCCCTGCCAAATTCCATTCTGTTTCAAATTAGCCTTCCAGCAAAATGGGGGGGGGGGGGTGCCTATATTAGCTGGTCTCTAAGATTCTCCTCACACCAAGGCTCTGAGGCTCTACAGTTCCCAAAACAACCTCTTAGAACACTCCACGTTTTCCTGAGTAGAAAATGCATTTGTACTCCAGGCCTAGGTTCCAGCTGAAGCTCAGAATTAGGCTTTCACTGCCGCTTTTTTCAAGCCCGCTTCCTCTTTCTCCTTTCCCTGAAAGGGCCTCTGGTCTTTCCCAAGCTGCCAGAGGAGAAGGGAACACACAGCTCCCCCAGAGCAGAGGGGCCCGCCAGAGGGAAAGCTGGCCCGGCCCCAGCACGGGCTTGCCTCCGATTCTGTAGGGACATTCCTCCCTCCCAACGGGCAGAGAACTTCTGGAACTTCTAAAGAGTGTATCCTCTGGCCAGCCCAGGCCCCGTGGCATCCTGCACCCTAGTTTACAAGCTTTTAGTGGCAACTAACACGTTTGGCAAACATTCCTCAAGGGTGAGCCAAGCCAGGCCCTTTTCCCCAGGACCCACTGACGAAGGGTTACTGGGCTGGGACAAAAACGAGGTTCAGCCAGACAAGCCCTGAGCCTTGGTTCTCTGGGCCAAGACTGGAGAGGACCGGAGGGAAATGTCCTCGGTCGGCCTCACCGCCACCACGCAGGCCGGTCCCAAGATCTCCGGGTGCGTCGCTAATTCCAGGCAGGGCTCCACCCTAGCCCACACTCAGCCCAGGACCTGGTCAGGAAAACTCCAAGCATTCCCGGCAACATGAAGCTTGCTTTCCATGCCAGGCTTCTTTGGGGTCTCCGGGTGGGAGCAGCCAGATCCTCTCACTGGGCTCCTGCTGTGTCTAGGAGGTCCAGAAAGCATCCAGCTCCCAGCTCTTGGGTTTCAGATGATTTTAAAGAGAATGGTGTTTTGAAAGCTCAAGACATGTTCTGGGCTTGGCTTTGGTTCTAGCTCCATCTCCATCACTCAAACAAACAAACAAACAAAAAACAAACAAACAAACAAACAAACAAAAACAGTAACCTTCCCCATGCATACAGAAATCCCAGAGGCAGTGAGCTGAGCTGAGGGGGCCTCAGAGAGCCCCTGCTTCCTAAATTACCAGGCTGTGCTGGGCCCTGGCTAGATCTTGCCGCTATGTCCCCAAGAAGAAAAGATCCACATCCACGCCTCCCTTCTGGCTGCCTACCTGGAATGCCTGACACTCAAGAAAATGACTTGAGCCCCATCCCACTAACTATAGGGACCCCATCATTGTGTCCCCCCAACGCAATCCTCCTAGCCTCCTGCCCCCACCACCGTCTCTGTGCCTGGGGTTCACAGAGGGTCTGTGCTTCCTCTGGTGACCTCTGGCTCAGATTCCCTGCTTTTCCCTCTCTCCTGAATCTACATCTCACCTCCTGCAGCCACTGTCCCTCCCTCCCTCCTGGCACTGCCCCCTTGCTCCCTTCCTAATCCCCCAGCTGCCCCTGGACCCACAGGCTGATGGACACAGAAGCATGTGTTCATTCAAAGTTTGGGGTAGTGGAGGGGGATCACAGTAAGCACATTCGAATCCACGAATAGACATTATTCTCCTAAAACTTCATCAACCATTCCCCGCCTCGAAATATTTCCCGCTTTATCATAAGTCCCAGGGTATCCTATCTTCTCCACCCTCTCTCTTCTCCTCCAGACCCTTCTATCCAAATTCTGAGGTCCTGTGGATTTCTCCTGCAGAACCATTTGTCTTGCCTTCTGCGTGGTCAGAGGGCCACACTGTTCTCACTGGAGTGGCTTCCCCATCAGGGTCCATCATAACATAAGCCTCAAAAAAGAGGCAGCTACCTCCAGGGAGGACGCTACCCCTCCCCTGGATGATAAAGCACAG